TCAATAATTTTCATTTGAAGATAACAAAAACCTTCAGGTAAAAAGTCAGTAAAATATTAACAGTTTAGTATGAAAACATATTTTACATCAGAAATATCAGCACAAAACTAAAACGGTCTTTCCTCAATATCTGTAGTTTGCAGAGGGGGTTCTCTAGAAAAATACAGAGGTCCTTCACTCCATCATCTGTAAAGTTGGTGTTGGTTAGGTCCAGTTCTGTCAAATGGGGGGGGTTGGTTTTCAAACAAAGGAGCAAAACACTGTAGATCTCTGTCAACCTGAAGTTAACAAATCTAAAAAAAGAATAAAATGTGTAAGTCAATGGCAACAGAATGCAGATTAAAAGTTTTTTCGTCAAGGATGCGGTCAAAATAGAGATTTTACATCTCGAGGGTAACATCAGTACCTTCTGTATCCAATTCACTGGAGTCTCAGTTTTACTTACTTTCCCAGCAACTTTGTCAGATAGGAAGCATACTGCTGCTGCCTGCCATTATTCAGAATAAGGTTTGCTCTCTTTGGAGCCAAATAGATGCACTCTGTAGCAACATGAAGGTAGACTTGCTGGTATTTAGCGTTGTAAATTGTAAATGGCCTGTACTTATGTAGCAACTTTTTTCGTCGTCAGGAGACTTGAAGAAAGCGCTTTACACTACATTCATTCACCCATTCACTCACACACTGATGGTGGCAAGCTACATTGTAGCCACAGCTGCCCTGGGCCTCACTGACAGAAGCGGGGCTGCCATACACTGGCGCCACCGGGCCCTCTGATCATCATCAGTAGACAATGCAGGTGAAGGGTCTTTCCCAAGGACACAACGACACTGAAAGTTGGAGTCGGGGCTTGAACCGTCAATCCTTCGATTTCAGGGCAAACTCCTACATCCGACGCCACTGTCGCCCTGTTGTCTCTCTTGTTTGTGGGACAGGAACTTTGGGGTATAATTTGAGGTGCTCAGAGCTCAGCAGGAAACATAGCACTTAATTTTGATAGATATGCATGAATTGCATTTTCAGGATCCAATGCATCAGTACAGATACGCCTTTGAGTTGTGTAAGCTGTATTTTTTTCAGACAATGCCATTATTAGCCTGCTACACCAGAATTCTGACCCATCATTTCATTTAACAGAGGTTATGAAATTTGTGGTGTGNAAGTATTTATTTATGTGCATGATATAATATTTTGTGTGTTTTATACTGCCTTTGTATTTTTTCACCCTATTCTTCAATGCTATTTATTTCTGCCTGTGGTTTTTACATTTCTGCTTCATTATGCAAATCAGGAAGGTGTTGGGATCTGGAGATCTGCCACCTTTCTCCAGCAGAGAGCGCCCTGGGTCTCCTGAGCTGAAGCCACCTGCACACCTGAGGCTGATTCATCTCATCAGGAGACCAGCTACTTAAGCAGCGGTTTGACTTTTCTTAAGTATTTATTAATGTGCATGATATAATATTTTGTGTGTTTTATTCTGCCTTTGTATTTTTTTCACCCTATTTATTTCTGCCTGTGGTTTTTACATTTTTGCTCCATTATGCAAATCAGGAAGGGCTGTGTCTTAGAGGGTCACCTTCTGCATAAATGTATATATATCTCTTAATTAACTTCTTTATTTTTTCACCTTTGTAAGCATTCTTATTTATTTATGTAATATTTTATCTGTTTTATTCTTCCTTTTAATTTTTTACCCTATTTATTTCTTCAATGCTATGTAGATTCGACCGATGCAGTAAATGCTAACTAACCAATGAGTCTCACTGTATAATTTAATTTCTACCTACATATATTTATTTATTGTATTTTGGGGGGCAATTAATCAAATGCTTATTTAATTATTGAGCATTAATTTATTTTTGTATTTATTTTTACATATGGCATAGCTGTTCCTCCTTATATAAAACATCTCATCTGTGCAAATAAGCCTTAAAACAGATTCATATAATGATTCTCTCTGGTAAACTAGGCCATGAAAATACAATATCTAAGTTTGGCTACTGCTCTCTAATTAGAGTTTCTTAGTGGCACTATCTGGAAATTGAAGGCGCCAAAAAAGTTAAAGCTGATATATTTTTCTCATTTTTATTTTAAAAAATTGACTGTAGTTGACCGGTTTAATGAGTGTTTAGCTATGTAAAACAAATGGCTAGTCTTGGCCACATGAGTTCTCTATGGCCAAGAACCTTGAAAATCACTCGTTTGAATAAGTGAACTTTATAAACAACATGCTAATCGAATTTTACAATTCTGAAAACTGCATAAGCTTTTTTTTTAACACTTCTGCTTAGCCACTTGGATAGTCCCTTTCCATCACACACTGCTTGCTGGTTAGCTAGGTAGCTTTCGTTTTACTAATTTATATACAGCATTTGGCTAAAGTGAGTTGGGATGTACATTGATGCTAGACATTTTTACTTGCATACTGCAGTAGGGAAATCAGTGATTCACCTGAATGTGGGTTCTCAGGTTGGTGTTCGATGTCCAGGACGTTGACAACAGTTTCGTTTTGGGATTACAAAGCAGACATCTGAACACGTACTTTTTATCAGAAGTTTCAACAAGTTTCATATATCTGTGAAGGTAAGGCCACGGTGTGGTAGGGACTTTTGGCTGCTCCTCTCGCTCTGCTCCTGTTTCCTCCTGCATCCTGTGTGGGTGTGTGGCTCTGTGTGTCGCATGCGCATGTTTCAGACAGGAGAGGCAGAATAGAGGCTCGTGCATGACTGTCCAAGGAATAACTCCGATTGTTGTTTCAAAATAGAAAACCTGGTTTCATTTCTTAGTTTTGCCCTGGATTTTGTAGCGTTTGTGGACACTACGTCGCTACTTGATCAAAAAAATAACGTCACTACAGGAAAGTTACTTGATAAATAAAGCAGCGAAGCTACGGTCAAGCTACTGGAAAATGTAGTTAAACTAATAGCTTCGCTACATGTAGGGGCACTACTGCCCATCACTGCCTGTTATAGGATGTCTGGAAGCAGAACCGTCAACAAAAAGTTCTAGGTCAGAATCTGAAAGTGGTTCATGTTTTAGATCACGGTGGGGTGTACAGAGGACCTCTAATTCAGTCACACAATTAAGAGGTTGGCCTTCCTCAGGTGTTCTCAGAAACAACTACAGGTGTTTGGTTCTAGGTAATTAGAGATTCACTTCCATACAGAAAAGCCCATATTCTTATCTTCAGGTAACACAGAATACATGTCAGATTAAATAATACTACTTCTACTTCAGCGATAGTATCCAGGTGTTACTTTATTGTATGTCTCGTACCATGTCTGTTGGTTGTGGTGTTCCCTATTACATCTCTGATGAAGCAGACTGAAAATGTGTTATCGTTATCTCCCTTTTATCTCCTCTTTCTTTCATCTTTTCTCCTTTTTATCTGTTTTTCCTTCCCTGTTCTACTTCCATTGCAGTGTCCATATAATCTGTAAAACTCCCTACATAATTATAATAAAGTTATTTATATGCATAAATCAAGCGGAACACTATGGCGATAGTGTTCCTCTTGTGAAAGTAAAATCTGTTAGGCTCATTCAGATTGCCAGACAGGACACTGTAAAAAAAAAAAAAAAAGAACAAAAAGAGTAAGATATAAGTTGAACAGTGTTTGTTCCACTTACTTGCAATAAAGGAAAGTAGTCAGGATCAAAATAAATTACACACTCTTTGGTTAAACTGTAATACTTTATAAATAAAGCCTGAGAAAGGTGCTGGCTTGTTATGGGAATAAGTATTTCTTGTCTACAAACACTTTTATGCAATCGAGAAATAAAAAGGAAAAAATATTTGTAATGGTATCTACTCATTTGTATTAAGATCTGCTGTCAGAAGTTCTGATAAATTAGCAGGATTCAGGTGTGTCTGTACTGAGAATAAAATGACACATGGCATTAAATATTTTCATGGAAAAGTTTGTGATAGCTAATATCTGTTACCAAGAAGTAGAGCCCTGGAATTGCATCCCAGTTGGCCAAAAATATGTTTAACTGTTTGATGATATTTNGACCGGTCTGTAGTCTGCTGGGTCGGATGGCCTCGGCTTCTTGGGGACAGGAACCAAGCACGACGTCTTCCACAGCAATGGGACTTTCTCCTGACTCAGGCTGAGGTTGTAGAGATGTCCCAGTACAGGAGACAGCTGGCTGGCGCAGGTCTTCAGGATCCTGGGTGTGATGCCATCAGGGCCTGCAGCGTTGCTGCTGAGGCCCACTGGGGTTCAAGGAGACAGAAGCAGACATAGAAAAAGAAGCAGATAATCCATGGTAATTCAGAAGTTTGGAATCCTGTAGTCACTGAACAGATGCAATCAGCTGATACCCCTTATAAAAATGTATAACTAATCTTACTGGATCTATTAGATCTTTAAGTCAGAAATTCTGACTTCGCATTGTCTCTCATTAGTTCCTTGAGATCATATGCGCTTTGAATCTGTATAAATATAAATGGACTGAAATTAACTGAAAGGAAATCAAATATTGATCAGAGCATACATGCATTCAAATATTTAAAAGATGGATCTGTTGAACAGCAGACAGAGGTTGTTCTCTGCCTTATTTGAATGTCTGTTCTGCGTCTACAAACAACTTTCAATGTTTGAAGATAAGCAAACCTTTCGAATGGTGATTTCATCAATGCAATGGATCGTAGCAGGCGGGTACAGCCCGCCAACTGTGCAATTCAGTATGGACAAACCAAATTACCCTTGTGCATCATATGGTGTGCACGTCTATTTCCCAGCTTTCAGCCAAAGTGGCGCACAGCTCTCTGTCCCCATGGGCTTAACCTCTTTTCTGCCTTCAGCAGCCCTCAAAGGCATAAGCAGTTGGTCTGGGGAGCCCCGACATCACTTACCAGGGGCGTATTGGGTGGGTTCCCCGAGCGGGTAGTAGGCGGCCCCCCTCAGAATATCTTTAGATTTACCCAACTTCCAAAACTACTACTTAGCAAATAGATTACAATACATCTCTAAATGGATAAAATACAAGCCCTTAGATGAGCCCTGGATAGACACAGAACAGGGAATATGCAGTAATATATTAAACGGCACTCATGTTTTTAAAATATTATAATCAGCTCTTCCCTGACAGCATGGTGGGAATTTCTAAAAATAATGAAGTCATCACTTTTCCCGTGCAGTCGTACACCCATCTGGAA